ATAATTGGCAGAACAATAGCTCAGCACGTGCGTTTTGAAGCTTTGTACATTGTACATTTCTTAGCCGTCCTATGCAAAACAACAACGTGAAATCGCCAACATTTGCGTCGTCTGCGAAACGAAACCGCGACGGCAAATTATTTTAATTTTCATTTGGAACTCAATGCTACTTTTATACGTCATGCTGAAGTTGATCTGTGGCGCCATATGAGACAGTAAGCTCCTGCAGCCATGTTTTAAATTCTAACTAAGAGTAGAAATTAATTTTTTAATCGGAGTCTTCCTTGGCGCTGCCGTCCTGACTGCTTAAGGTCCCTAATTACTTTGAAAATCCGGTGAACTTATGGCAAGCTCTAAACAGTCCCATCGACTCTGTAACTCCTGTTACTGCCAAAAACAGAATTTCTCCTCTCATTATCAATACGAGATCAAACAGACAAATGATGAGAATAAAAAAAAAAAGGGAATAATGGTTAACCCAATACAGGTACCAAATTCTCCAAACTAACATCATCAGAATTGTATTGAGGACAGTAAGGAGAAGTACTTATGCGATCTTACGAATGGAGAGCTAAAATCATAACCACCAACCGTGCCTGGGCACACCCCACTCATACACCAAATGATAAAATCAAATATTAGTGTGTCCACAACATCCCCGCCCCCTCCCCCTCGATCAAAATTTCATAACTACTTCCATCACCTTCACTCTCGTCATGCGCATCATCAATTGCTGTGTCCGCATCAAAAGCAGTCTCGCAGTCTACTATTTCTACTTCTTCTTCTTTTTTTTCTTCTTCTCCTCCGTCATTTTTTTCCTCGTCACTGAGACCCCCTTCGTCATTTTCTTTTTCTGGCTCGTCCCGTCCCTTCAAGTTACTATCTTCAACCCGTTGCTGGTCCTCATCATTCTCAACCCAAACTTCCTCATCCTCTTCTTCGTCCCAATCCTCCTCGTCCTCTTCTTCATCCCAATCTTCGTCCCAAGCCTCCTCGTCCTCTTCTTCATCGTACCAATCCTCCTCGTCCTCTCTTTCGTTCCAGTTTTGTCCGTTCCAAATCTCCCCGAGGTCAACGAATGTTTCGGGGACGGGTTTGGCTTTAGCCAACGATAAAGCACAAAGCAACAACAAGATCTTGATAAAGCCTTTCATTTTAATCTAGAAAGAAAACATTTCAGTACAGGAAAACTTCTGTAAGTTGATATTATCCACCATTTTCAATTCTATAAGCAAGGACGAGATCCACATAATCCAGAACGGCTACAGTCCGAGGCCAAGGAGAAGGAAAGCTAACAATATTTAACAATTATTCGCCGAAGGCGAGGTGAATATCGCCGAATAACGCCACGAGAAGAAGTCGAGGGGATTATTCGACAATATTCACCGAACCTGAGGCGAATAATTGTTTTACTAAAAAAACTGTTTCCCCACTGCGATGGACATTTGTTTTTGTCGGTTCCAGCCCGGCGCGGCCGCTAACCCAGATCCCCTCCTGAGCAAATTTTCAAAATGGCGGACAAGCCAAGAGAGATAAGAGAACCAAAGCGATTCTGCAACGAATACTCAGCATACACCCCTGTTAAAAAAGGTCATTTCACAGAGAAAAGATACAAAATTGTATGATATTGAAGTCACGGAGGTTGACAAACCCAACAAGAGACTGAAAATTCAGTACACGCTTCGATGAGTGGAGACCCTTCGGTCTACACAATAGCTAACCGATAACTCCTAAACAAAGAAAGAACAATGGTAATTCCCTTGTGAACCGGTACACCAGGACAGAACCCCCTTCGGGGACGGTGAAGCATCTGAATATTTTCCTTCGAAATTGTATAGATTAGTAGGCTGCAACAAAAATTTATTGGACGACGTTTAGGGTAAAAACAGCAATCTAACCTGAAAAAAATGTATTTATTCCGACTCTTTCGGAAAATAACTTTACAAATCTTACTTGTTTATCTCGTAAGTAAACGATGGTGAAGCGCTTTCCGAGCTACCCGATTCTTCTCCCACTGCTTTCACGCTTATAAAACAGGAAACGAGCAAAAGGAGGAAGGTGTGGCTGTTTTGACTAGCCATTTGACGAGGTTCAATCTGCTCCTTGTTCGACAATTTACATATCAAAACAAAGGAAATTTGTTCCTCTCTTTGATTTTGGCGGTACATTTTCAATTTGCGCTTGCGTAAGAGAGAAATCGCCCAAGACTCCTTGCTCGGTCTTGTTTTGACCACGAACGCCTTCTTAATTTTGACGGACCCGCTCGGGAAAAGGTGAAAATGACGAGGGAAAAACTTTACTTTGTAGTACGAAAATACACAAAATGGAAAGCCATGATATTATAGTTCAATATTTCGGTGGTACATTGTTAACTTTTTATACAGAGAGTCGGCAAGATGATATAACATCCAAAAATCGCACTCGATTTGAGTGGGCCGATGAAGTGGGCGTGGTCACGAAATTCAGTAAGAGACTATTTGTACCCCGTGAGTTTGATATG